AATAATAATAATTTGTAGAAAGTAAAAAATTAGTAGAAGAGTAACGAAAAAGTGTCGAGAAACAGAAGGGAAAAAGAGAAGCTTCGTCAGAAGTGATCAGCAAATCTGGGCCTAACTGTATGAGTCATCGTTTTCCGTCCTTCAGCTTTATTCCATCTAGGAGGTATTGGCTCCGCGCGCTTGGCAGACACCAAGACGTTAGGCCCGGTTAGAAACGGTGGCGTTAAAAAACACGTGAGAGAGCTCGGGAACAAAACAGAAAGATCCGTGGGTGTTTTATAAAAAGGGCCGCCGGCAGTATTGGACAAATTCAAGGACCTATCAAGTTTTTCAAGGACCTAAGACGTTTTTCAAGCACTTTCAAGGACCTAAATTTAGCAAAAAAAAATTCAAGGACTTTCAAGGACTCTCAAGGACCGTGGGAACCCTGAAGTAGATGTTTACCGGGGGTAAGCACAAGGGTATAAACAAAATAATAATCTTTTCTGCATACTTAAATTTTTTTAGCTTATCAAACACTACATTTAGAATTCCAAAACAGCATTAAATTTCCCTTTATTACCTTTACCACCAGAAGCAGCAATGGCGACATAATCTCCACGTTTGAACAATTTTCCTCTTGTAATAGTTTCATGCACTTCAGTTTCAAAAACTTCAAAAAAACAACTTTTACAGACAGGATGGCCCTGAAAATGAAAATAAATACAATGCCACAATTTAAGCAGAGAATTTTAACAAAACTAGCATTTTTAAAACTTCAATGAGAAATAAATAAAAAACATAACATAATGTATAATCTTTTATTTCACACTCAGTTTCCTTACTGTTTTAGAACGTTTAACAATAGCTTTATTTATTTCACATTTCGAGCAAACAGGAGAAGTAAAAGACATTTTTAGATAATATGAAGAAAATAAAAACTTTAAACGTTTAAATTTAGAAACAATTCAATACATAAAAATTGCATATAATGAAAACAATAGATCGAAAGATAATGATATATTATTCCTTCCCACGATTCCAGTCTGAAATTTTCTAGCAATGTTTGTAAATAAATCGCACTCAAACATACGGTCAAGAGTATCAAAACATTTTAATACAATTTTTATCATGTTTGAGGTTTGAATAATTAATGCATAAAAGTAATGATTTCATGTAATGAGAGCTAGTTATATCATCACGTAAAAAAGCAATATTCAATTTTTTGGAATAGTAGAAAAATAATCTGATGCGATTTGTATTTTCTTTCATCTGCAGATTTAAAGTGAAGTAATTTATTTATTTACAAACATCGGGTACTAGGGGGCGTGGTCAACGATGTGTTCGTGGCTTGTGTTAAAATCGTTAAATCCTTTCATCATGATGTAAAACAGAAATTTTAAAATATATAGTTTAAAAACATTAATTTAATGGATTCCACAGACAGCAGTCTTGTAGATCAATTGACTTTGCAATTGTCTGAAATAGAGATGCTCAGTAGCATGTATCCTGACAATAGTGAATTTTATATCACTCTCCCTTCTATTATAGCAGATATGAATAGATATGTTGAAGGGAAAACACAATATACTCCTAATGAATTAGATTTTGTTTTAAATCTTGATATTCCTGACATAAAAGTAAGTTCCTTGCAAAAAAAAAAAAGAAAACACAACATATAAGAGTTATTCCAATATCACAATATAAAACTATTATTTTGTTAAAAATTATACTGCAACTTGTTCCTTTATAATAGAATCAAATGTGTTACTAACTATAAAAAGCTATGCAGTGATGTACTAAAAATTTCAAATATTGAGACACCGTCCTGCCATTTCCAATACATCTTTCAATATTTTAGTGATGCATATTTATCTGATTGCATATTATAAAAAGCAAAAAAAATGAAGTAACAATTATATTTCTGTTTATCCATGCTAAATAAAAGCTTACTCTGCTCTAACTTACATAAAATATAGTCAAGCTGTTTTTACTAAGTAAATTTTTTTTTTCATTTTCTGGTATATATCGGTATTGTGTGAATTCAAATAAATAACTGCCTGATGCATTGATGACTTACTTTTGATGATACATTAAATTTCTCCACGTTAAGAGTAGTCCATATTCTTTGTTTGTTTTTTTTCCCCTTCAGCGTTTTCTCCCCTTTTCTCTTTGTCTTAAAATAACACATTTTTTTTTTGTGTTTCTGTTTTGTCACATGCTCACTATGCTGCATAATTATGCAGCTAATAAATAAAACAGCTATATATTCAAATTTTACTTTTAAACTTTAACTATATGTTTTAATGACAATCATCAGCATAACGATAATTATGTTATGCATATACTTATTTTGTATGATATAAAAGTTTACATAACAAACTTATTTATACAGCAGCAATAAAATACTGTGATTGATATCTATAGATGTCAATCTGGAAATTCTATATCCCCACAATATTTAAAGTGATATACACATAACAAATTAGGTTTAGCTTAATTTGTTTTACTTTTCCAGTAATATAAGGCTTCTATGAGTAATTATCAGGTCGTATTTGTTTGTATGGAGAGATGGGGCACATTGAACCAGGCTCTATTATTTTAATGCTTTTAAATTTTTTGTTTTGTTTTTTCTATTAGAATGTTGCACCACTAGTCCTATAAATCCTAAGAATCACATGACTCAGTTAAAGTGTGCTACTTTTATTTCAACTAGATCTATTTTAGTAGTGTTAAATAATTTTTTTAAGCGTATTAATTAACTTTTGAACTATGGTCTTTACCATAAATTAAATATGAGCCGCAGCGGCTCAAGGGATGGAGCATTCGCCTTCTGACGAGGTGAACCGGGTTCGAATCGCAGGTTTCGAATTCTGCAGCCGGCTCACACTGACCACAGTGCTGACGTAATTTATCCTCGGTGGCAGACGGATCAAGGGTTAAAGTCCCCTTGCCATCAGGCTAACCATGGGAGGTTTTCATGGTTTTTCTCTCAGTGTAATGCAAGTGCAGGTTAGTTCCCTCAAAAAGTTCTCCACGAAGGCAAATTTCTCCCAATACTTGATCCAGGAGTTCCTTTGTCTTCTGGATTGGGTTCAAAATTGCAAAGCTACGAAGTTGAACATTGGTAATCATATACCCAAAATTTGGTCGGCTTTTTAGTGACAGATATAAAAATAAAAGAAATTGAATATGCAGTTACGCACTCTCCTACTATTCTCAGTGACTCTTCCGTTTTTTAATTGCTACTTCATTTTGTTTTTTGTCAAACATAGCCTTCACATCATTTGAAAATCAAGGAGAGAAAATTATTTATGTTCATTTTTAACAAAAAGGACCATTCTATGGCTATCTGTTGCATTTCAGGATTTCTGAGTTTTAAAAAATGTATAATGTGGAAAATCAGCTCTTCCCGAAAGGTATTATGCAGTGTAGATGGGCTATGCTATGAAAGAGCATTTACTCCCAGCATCCTTCCCTCATTATTTGTCAGAATCAGTTTTATAGACATAAACTGTTCTTCCTCCTTAATCTTTATTTGATTTTTTTAGTTTGTTTACAAAATGTTGTGTGTGTCTTTTATCTTCAATTCCACACCAAATTTTGGTTCAATGACAATTGGCCCCTAAGTCAGTTCACATCAACTAAATAATGCATAAGATGCAAGTTATTTATAATTTAATTACATACAAGTGGTAATCTATGTTATGGGGAATTTTTGTGTGAGCTTATTTTAAATGGTGGTAGTTTTTGGTGAAACAGATTATTTAAATAAAATTCATTAATTTATAAAAAGCAAAATTTTTGACACCAAAAGTAGTCCATGGCATTGATAATTATTTTATTTTCTTTAACTTAGACATTTGCTACTAGAATATAAATACTTACGGTTTACACTTGGCACAAAGTTCTTTCAAAATTTTTTTAATAAAGGCTTTCTTACATAAACTTTAAGTATCAGCATAATCTTTTTGTTCTAACAGTAAAACTCAGCTATGCATTTTTCAATGGAATATACGAATAAAAAGTATCCAAAAAGAGCAAGGTAAGTGGGCTCCACTTTTTGTGTATGTGAATAATTGGTCTTTAAATTGCAGAAAATTGAAATTTGGCTCACTTTCAAGGTCTTGATCAAGTTCCGCAGTCGACTGATCGTAAAGACATTCCCAGTAGAACACCGAAGTCAAGCATTACTGGCTGCGATAATAAGTGGGTGGGTAACCACTATGATCAGTCTGCGTAGGGACGAGGGTGCACGGTATTGGTCTCGTTAAACTGTTCTGCTGTAAAGTGCTTGACTTCGCTTGCTGGTCGTCAGGCTACCAAAACAGGGGAGCCACCCCCTCTGTAGAGGATCAAAATTGTGATGGCATGTCTTCAGACCGTCGCCAATAGCCCATTAATTTCTTAATCAAAAGTCTAAACTTTTTAATCTAAATGTCCCACTAATGTTGCCATTAGCATAGCTACCAAGTCTACTGGATTTTCCTGTAGACTGCTGGATGTTCCCAATTTTTCCTGGTCTACTGGTTTAATAAAAATTCTCCTCTTTTATGAATATTCTTAGAAAATTCCCTAAAATTGAGTAAGTTTCCTAAAAATTATCCCTATTGAAATAGCATTTTTGCACAGATTATTGCTTACTTGAACATTTAAATATGTATTACTAATAGATAATGAAGCGGGCCTCGTGTATAGAAATCAGTTTACAACTTTTTTTGTTCTCAAAAGTTCAATTTGTTTTATTCAGAACCCCCTTCTTAAATTATTTGAAAAGTCTTTTAACTATCTCAGATGAATTAAATGCCTATTACTATTCAAAATTATGAGTGAACATAATGCATAGCATTTCAGGTTCATTTAATGTCAATTGTAACTGGTAAATATTGCGTAATATTTAGTACAATATGCAACAATCGTCTTGAAATTTATATTGTTTCGTAAAATCTACTGGATTTTTTCCTATCTATGTTGGCAGCTATGCATTTATTTTCAAAGAGGTTATTTCCTTCCTTTCAAGCTTAAGAAAAGCTGTTTGCATTTCACAAGTATAGCAAAATTATATCAGTGCAGTTCTTCCCTGCAAGAACTGCACCGATATCCAACTTACCCCGGATCACATTCTCGATTGCCCAGCCCTTAGCCCATATGTTTTACAACTGGGTATGGTGCCATTGGCTTCAGAACTTCATGAGATCCTCTACATCAGTGTTTCTTAACCTTTTTGATATAATGGACCCCTTTTAAAAATTTTTAAGAAGTCACGGACCACCCCACTGTGAAAAAAAAATAATTGCAAAAAACATCAATTATTAGAAAACATTTAATTTTATTATTTTAATAGTATACAAAATTTTTAAAATTAAAATGTTTAATGTGAAGGTTGCTGCTGCTTTTCCTTAATTAATAAATTTAATTGGGGGATGAATTTCGACAAAGCAACGTGTTTATCATGTTCAACATTCAATCGATTTCGATGTTATATTTTTATTGTCACAAGTGTGGAAAATCCCGCTTCGCAAAGATACACAGTAGCAAACGGAATTATAGCTGCCATAGTTCGATTTACAAGCAATAGGTAGGCTTCCAAACGCTTTAAAAATTAGGAGTAGTCAGCGGACCCCCAAAATAAAACTCATGGACCCCTTAGGGTTCATGAACCACAGGTTAAGAAACCCTGCTCTACAGTAATGATGTATAGGAGCTTGCGGATGCAGTTTTGAAGGCACACGAGGTCATTTAATTGTCCATGGACACGATTAAAAAAATAAAATTATACACACTTACTACTAACATTTTTCTTTCAGAACTATTCAGATATTGAGATTTCTATAACGTGAAGGGTGTGTCGCTTACTTGTAATGTTTTAATATTTGTTGAAAAAAATTCTACAGTATTCAATGGTAACTTTTCACAATTCAATTGTAACTTTTAAATATTGTGATTCAACATTTTTTTTCTGAACATGTGTTTTGTCACTCTTGTTAAAAGGTTTGAATTATTTTTATTTAATAATTCATAACTATTGCGTATCAAAACACTACATTAAAATATCTTTAGCTGATTTACTATATCTGCCCATTGTATAAAATTGAGCTTCTTAAATAGTAAGTCCTTATTTCCATTTCTCATCGCTAGACGATATTTCTTGATGCATATACAATGTTAATCTAACCATTTTCTATATTAAACGGATCGTTTACATATCGTTCATTCATAGAAAATAAATTTAATTTTCACTTTTTTTTTTCTTGATCTCTTTTTTAATCAGCAGAAATTGTCAACACCTTTTTCTAGGCATTTTATATGTCCTCGCATTCCATCTTATTTTTTTACTATGTTGAAAGAAAAATATTACAGACTTAATTTTTAAATAAAAAGAAATTAGAAATATCTATAATGGTAAGCTTTTAATCTTCGCCAATAAGAAAAATAGAAAGTTTTAAAAAAAAGGATAACTTTTATTTTAAGGAAATATCTTGCAGATAACTAAAAACTTCTGTTTTTATGTGATTTGTTTTCTTTTTAGTTTGTCATGTGATTAGTATAACAACAGTGTTTCTTGAATAATTTGATTTCCAGGACCGGAATAGCCGGTTAAAGATTTAGATAATTGCCGATATTTTCCTTGAATATGATGAATAATTGAATTATTCATATTGATTGGTTTGTTTCTGTAATTGTCAATTCCTAAAGTGAAAGTTAAACTTTCAAATGCTAGTCCGACAAAATGTTGAGTGATTTATCTTTCTTTAATTTATTTATTTATTTTAAAAAGCAGCAAGAAAGAAAAACGAAAGACAATATTTTATTCGAGTCCTTAAATATTTTTTATATTGTGTTTTGTGAATATATTGCCAATTTTTCGCCGAATCGATATTGTAGAATGGTTGAACATAGATATCCAAGAATCACGGGAAAAAAACCCAGAAAAGAGTCCATATAATACTACAAAGAAATAGAATAATTAAGTTTTTATGTGTTGAATTTAAAAAATTTTAAATGACATAGGAATTTAATGTCCGATAAATGGTCATGGCATGACCTTACGATCGTTAAAAGTGAATTTTTAGATTTTTGTAAGTAAAGGGTTAAGTGTGGACAGGTAATGAAACTGATTATTTAAACAATTGTTGCTTTTAAAAAGAGCAAATGTAACAGATTTTTACCTGAAAATTTCGACTGAAGTAAATGGTCTTAATCTTTGTTATTTTAATCAACGTTAGGGTATAATTAGTATTAATTTATAGCTAACAAGTGTGTGAATTTAAAAAAAAAAATTTCAGTTGAAAGTGCGTTTTAATTATATTTTAGAAAAATTTATTTTTCTTGTTATTTAAGTCGAATTTGATTTTTATTTTATAAACTGTACTTTGAAAATTAATATTAATTGTTAGCTGATGAGCAATAATAGTATGTCAGAAATATCCATTTTATAATAACAATTTAAAAAAAAAAGCAGATTTCGCTGGTAATTATTTTTATTTAAATGTGTTAAAACATTAGTCTCCATTGCACAAGCATTAATTGAAATTTTGGAAAAATATTATAAATGAATTATACACTTTAAACAAAATCAACCTAATTTAAAAATGATGTATTTCAAGAATGCTATGGTGCTTTTCTTTCAGGCCTTTTTTTTTTTTTNTTTTTTTTTTTTTTTTTTTTTTTTTTTTTTTTTTTTTTTTTTTTTTTTAGATATTTTTTCGCGTACTCTTTTTTTCCAAATGTTTTGTTTTTCAAGCTCTTTTTTTTTGCGCCTACCGCTTTTCTGACGTTGAAGAAGAGACTTTGGTCTTAGCTAGCTGAAAAGCGTGATGTATTTTATACTTTGTGCTGAACTGGAGCATAATTAGTAGATATTCATGTTTCTTGGAATGTATCTTTTTAACACTAAAACGAAGATTCCATATTCATTTAAAGAAATACTTAAAAGATACTGTATTTCTGTTATCTTTTACCGGTGTGTAAACGGTTATAATGTTTCGTTTATAGATATTCAGGTAATTTTTATTGCATACTTTCTAAACATCGTAATATGTATACAGTTTTCTTTTTATTCTAGGAAAAATTAGAAGTGAATATTATTTTTCCTCATCAGTATCCTTCTCGAAAACCTTCAATATCCTGTCGATCTCTTGGTCTCAGCAGAACGCAACAGAGAGAGCTCAATTCTTCTGCTAGAAACTATATTGACAGTTTACCTAATGACGAACTGTGTTCCATATCAATAATCAACTGGTTAACAGAAAATGCTGCTAATTATTTTTCACTTAAAACACCAGAAACTGACTCCGATTCATTAGATTATAAAGCTCCGTCACCTGTAAGAGACATTAAATGTAGATTATGGGTATACAGTCATCATATTTATAGCAAATTTAAAAGGAGGGAGATTATTGATAGTGCTCAGGATTTGAATTTAACTGGATTCTCACTACCAGGAAAGCCTGGTTTTATATGTGTTGAAGGTGATAAAAGAGATTGTTATGAATTCTTACATAATTTAAAACAGATGACTTGGAAGAAACTCTCTCTGGTAAAAGAAGAAACAGTAGTTACAGATTCTGATGAATCGGATTTTAAAAAATTTGATAAATTCCAGGAGATAAGCTTTCAGGTTAGGAGAGGTCCGGCTAAAGAGTACCACATGGACATGGGCCAGTTTTTGAAGTATCTCGAAGAACATAATTGTTCCTATGCTTTTAATGATTTGCTCGGATTAGAAGGTCATTCTTCTGGCAGTAAATAAATGTATTTTTTACTTATTATTTGTTTATGTTTTTTATTGATGAATATTTGTAAATTTTTTAAAAAGTTATAAATTTGTTGAGACTTTGTTGTGTGATTTTTCTTTCATTTTTCAAGCATATAAAACTCATTTAGTTAGTTCTTGACTATTTGTTACTATCTTTTTTCCGAGAATCGTAAAAGAACCTGGTACCACAGTACCTATATTAGATACCTATTACTGCAATACCAGTAATACGCGATGGTAATAGCATCGCTTTTATCTATAATAGTTAGGCGATTTTTTTTCACGATTCCTAAAAACAATAAATACAGTATTTATGTGCTACAGAATTTCTGACCTAGTAGAAAACTTTCAAATATGATGCAGGTGTAACTCAGGACTTTGTTAGCTGAGATCCTTAATGCTAGGTGGATTGTAGGACTTTTGTCTCAAGCTAATAGAAGATTTTGCTTCCTTTTTTGTGAAGCAGGATTACTTTAACTTATAAAAAATGCTTTGTGAATTCAGTATGTTAGTTCATATGCTTTGCGGCGGAGTTTCTTTGTTTTCTAAGTGAAAAGTCTTTGTCAATGGGATACTTGCAAGTGACGTAGAGTGGGTGTCTCGATACTGATTGGTTGTTGAAAGGTGGCATTTGTTTATGTTAGCAACTGTTTTTTCTATTCTATTTCGTGTAAGCCAAGCCCGTCATGCATCGATTCTCTTAAATGATACATTCCGTATTCTTTCACAAAGATTTCAATTCTTTCACTATATATTTCTTACTTAACACAAAGACAGGCACAAAGCCATCATATAGAACATAAACTAATTATGTAACAAAGTTGTCAGGTACTAAAAAAAAAACTATATCACGTTACATTAAAATACATGAACAAATACTTAAGTTTGGTAAAAGACATGGGAGAGAAATAATTATATTTTAATAAATTCGATGTATTTAATTAACTTCACGTTAATTAACATTCTAACTTATGTGAAGAAACTTAGATCGACTTTAACATGCCATCTTGTTTATAAACGATCAGTTCAATTGGGTCAGCTGTTCAACGACGATTATAAAAAAAAATTTAAAAACGATCAGCTGGTGTTAAGGTCATAGGTAACACGCCTGGGTATCAATGATCTTCTTCTTGAAGTGCAAGTACTCAATTACATCACCTCATTATTCTACTTATATCACTTTTTCATTCGTTTCCTTAGATTTCATACATTTTTAATTTGTACCCAATTGTGATAAAATAATTTATATATTTATTTCATATTAAAATACTTTTTTTTTAAAGAAATAAATGAATAAGAATAAGCACAAATAAATTTTTAATTACAACATACACTTATCTGTCAGTCTAATTTTGAATCGCCGAAAGTTAAATCGGTTGTTCATAAGATTTTTGCGTACTTTTAAAGCAGTGAACACGAAACGTGTTTTTCCTAGATCAAATACTGGCATTTCAATTAATAATATAGAAAAAAGAGACAGTGACAGGTTCCAATAATTTTTTAAATCATAAATTCACCTGAAAATATTTTCCTTTAAAGATATATATATATTATGAGTAAGACAATGTGTACAGTAAGAAATAGTAAACCTGAAAAGCCTTTTATTGTTTGTTTTTTTTATAATCACGGAGATTCTTTCATTAATATTGAATTGGCAATTAAAAAATATCCGTATTCTACTTAGATTTCATAATAAATAATTCGGTAAAATACAACATTCTTTTCATCATACTCATTATGATTTCTGAGTTTTTAAACTCGCATACCAAATGTCACCCGAAGCTGAGCTATATTTCCACGTTCATTAGTATGAAATTAATGAATATTTTACTGCGCACATTCATTTCGGGTAGTTAAAAATCATGGAGCAAAATTGCATTGCATTTTAATTTGCAAGTTTTATATTTAAAAAAATCATTTGCATCAAAAACGCACCCAAACATCAAAATCATCTAGATATTTCTATATTTTATAATTTCTACAATTTATGAGTTACTATAAAATTATTGGAGTTAATATGAAATTATGGTTACTCTAAATGTGATAAATGGAAAACCTGATATTGAAAACAATCACTTGTTTAATATCTAAATATCTTTATTTGCAAAAAATAATTTGATGAATAAATTATTTTTTTGGTCATTTTTTCGAATTTTTATGGTAGAAAAGAAAAAATATTTATCGCATCGCCATCATTTTAAGATTAATGACATTACTGTATGCAAACCATTCAGAGCATTGTCATATCTTTATATGCGGGATAAAGCTTACTTAAATTAAACATATCAATCCAGAGCAAAGGCTATAGGGTGCAATGATCTTGAAATATTTACAAACGCACTAACATGACCGTGTAAGCTCACTGGTATGACCATGAATGGTCACTTAAAATGATTAGTTCGACGGTTAAAAAAAATATTCTTTCGCTGAATAATATTGATCGAAGAATACATAAAAAAATTCCAAGAATATTATTATTATTCTTGGAATTTTCTATATATTTACATATGGTTCTTATTTATAGCTTTGTCGTCCCGCTTTTTAAAGAAAACTGTGCTGATTTTAAAATTTTGTACTTGCAACTCAATAAGAAGTGAGGTAATTATATATAATCATGTGATTTAAACCAGATTTAATTGGGTACTTGCACTTCAGGAAGAAGACCTCCTATACCCACACATGTGACCTATAAGATCAGCGCCAGGTAATCTTTATCAGCAAAACGCGTATTAAAGTCGAGCTAAGTTTTTTGACATAAGTTAGAATGTTAATTAACGATAAGTTAAATAGATGCCGAGTCGTGTCACACATCGTATTAGTTGAAATATAATTCTTTCCTGTCCACTTCTTTTACTTAACTTAGATTCATTATTTGTTTATGTATTTTATTGTAACCGTCATATATTTTTGTTTTGCGCACCTGGCAACTTCGATGCATAATTAGTTTGTTTATGTTCCACATGGCTTCGTTCCTGTCTTTGAGTTAAGTCTTTGTGTAAATATATAGTGAAAGAATTTAGAATGTGTCACTTGAGAGAATTGATACTTGGCGGGCTTGCCTTACTCGAAATAGAATGGAAAGAACAATTGCTAACGTAAACAAATGCCGCGTTTCAACAACCAATCAGTATCAAGATACCCACTCTACGTCATTTGCAGGTAGCCCATTTTATACCTGTAAGCGACGTCATGCATGTATGTCGAACCCGATTGGCTTCTGAATCTACAAATGCCGCAATTTATCTACGACAACGTCTCTTTCAGTTTTCCAATTATGGTAAGTTAGAAAGTTATTCATGTCTGCTATGTTTTGTAACTCTTTAACCAGTGCCTATATTCTAAGTATGAAAATGGTGCAAAGCGTCAGTGCTAAGAACAGCAACAGTTATTCAAAAATGAAAGACATTTTTGAATTTTTTATCATGAATTTTTTATTGTTAGAAATTGAAAATTATTTATTAACTTTAATAGGGGAGGGTAGCCTAAAGCGGGTAGGCATTCGTATCCCGCTGCATGGCGCGCAAGCGCCGATATCTAAGTATGCCGTGATTACCCGAATACTCAGGAGTTTCAATTAGTCCCAGCGGAGCAGAAGTAAAGCGACATGGTGTAACCAAGCACAAAATAAAAAAATTAATAAGTTTATTAAAAAAACTCAAGGTATGTAACTTGTGGCTAGTCGAAAGCCGGCTTATTTTTTTATTGTCAATATTATTATATTATTCTAACACTATTCCCCTATAAACTACGATGTTTAATTTTTTAAATTTTTTTTTATTTAAGGTTATAATTTTTTTAGTAAAAAATATGCTTTTGGGCAAAGCGGGTATATGAATCTCACAAATATATTGAATCTCACAAATATATTGAGGCCCTTGAATATGCTAGAAAAAATAATGTAATTTTCGTATCGCTGCCTCCTCATACAACTCATCGCATGCAACCTCTGGACCGTTGCATTTATGGACCGTTCAAAACTTACTTTACAAGAAGTTTCTACTTTTCAACGAAGCCATGTAGGTAGAATAATTACTCAGTACGACGCAGCTTCACTTGTTGGAAAAGCATATTCAAAAGCAGCTAGTGCACAAAATGCTGTTCAAGGATTTAAATCCTCAGGAATATGGCCCACGAACCGACACATATTTAGTGATGCTGACTTTTTGCCAGCTAGTCTGACAGACAGGGCTGAAGTTATTGAAAACACCAACGATAGCCCATAGCAGATCCAATCTACTGATGCTGGTCGTCTTTCTAATAATTCTGATTGCTCTACTTCTACATCTGTATTTGAAAACGTGGATCACAATTACTCTCAAGCTTCAAGGATTTCGCTACGACGCACAAACGGAGAAACTTCGTATGATCCAGCTGTTGAAAATGATCCTTCATGTTCTACAACAACTAGTGACAATTCATTTCAACCAGTAGAAGAGCCATTGACACCTCATGTGAATCCTTTAGATATTAGACAGCTACCAAAACCTACTCCGAACATAACTAGTCTTAAACGTAAAACTCAAAGAGCTGAAGTCTTAACAAGTTCACCATTTAAAAATATGCAAATAGAAAAGAAGAAACGTCTTAGTAACAATGCTGCTGTTCAAAAAAATTTAAAAAAATCTTCCTTCGACAAGTAAACCAAGTGAAACTAAAAAACAAAGAGCTTCATAGAAAAAATTGTAAAAGAGTATTTTTGTCTTGTTTGTGGGGGGCCTTATGAGGACCCACCGCTAGAAGATTGGATTGAATGTGGAGATTGTAAAGACTGGGCTTATGAAGCTTGCACAACTTATTCAGGAAGAGGGTCTTATTTTTGCGAACTATGTCAAGAATAACAAATCATAATTTGAGACTGATAAAATAAGTCTAAAATTGTTATTTAAATGTTATTTTTAACATTTATTGTACGTGTGATTAAGGTCTTATTATTATTATTTAAGAAAATTAATATGCGCTTGTATTTGTAAAATCTATGGTGCTTACCTGCTTTGCCCGAACCGCTTAACCG